CCATGGTTCGAGTCCTGGACCTAGTCCTAGTGGCTTGGTTTCTCACTTTCTCTCTCTCTCTCTCTGTCTCTCTGTCTCTCTCTCGTCAAATTAAAATAAATAGATGAGGGGCCAGCAGTCGGCATAATGGCTGTGTCCCTGGACTCCTATGTAGTCGACCATGGTTTGAGTCCTGGAGCCCAGTGGCTTAAACTCATGCTGGGTGCATGTGCATGCATGCCCAAGATCCCGAGAGGAGAATGGAGGAGAAAGGATTGCAGCATGGCCATCCCCTCTGGGGGGGGGTGATTTCTTGTTTTCTGTCTCTCTGTCTCTGTCTTTCTGGCGAACGCATGCGCCCTATAGCAAAAACATCTCCAAAAAGAAAAATAAATGAAAATAAATAGATGAATAAATAAAATTAAACAATTCTTTTTTTAAAAAAAAAAAAAGAAGAGAGAAACTTGGACATAGACACAGACACATGGGGAGAATGCCCTGTGGTAACACAGGCAGAGATGCACCTGCAGATCAAAGAACACTACAGATTGACAACCACCACCAGAAGCTAGGAAGAAGCAAGAAAGGAGTCTTCCCTGAAAGGTTTGGGGGAGTCTCTTAGACCATTTGGGCTGCGATAATGAAATACTATATACTGGGTAATTGATGAACAACAGAAATGGATTTCTCACAATTCTCAAGGCTGGGAAAGCCCAAAATTAAGGTGTCAGCAGATCCGGTGTCTGGTGAGGGCCCATACCTCATAGACGGCAATCTGTCTTTCTGTTTTTACACGGCAGAAGGGACAAGTGAGCTCCTTCTGCCTCTTTCATGAGGTCACTAGTTCCATCTACAAGAGAAAGCTTTCTGACGGTCTTACTTGTTAATATCAGTTCTTTGGGGATAAGACTTTTAACATATAACTTTTCAGGGAAACATCAGCCCTGCTTATGACCCGATTTTAGACTTTGAGCCTTCCAAACTATGAGACAATAAATGTCTGTTTTAAACCTCCCAGACTGGGGGACAGTGGCTGGTGTGGTAGTTGAGGCATTGGGCTCCCACATGGTCAACCACGGTTAGAGTCCTAGACCTGGCAGCTTGCTTTCTCACTTTCCCTCTTCTCTCTCCCTTTGTCTCTGATGATTGTGTGTGCCCTGTAGCAAATAATAATAATAATAATAATAATAATAATAATAAAGATGATGATAAATAAAATTAAGTAATTATAAAAACAAACGTACAAAACCACCCAGTCTGTAAACTTTGTTGTGGAGCCTGCGCAAATCAGTAACCTGGGTGTGCCAGCAGTGGGCTGAAAACTGCATGCATAAAAGGAACCATGCAATATTGGAACAGCAAGACCTCCGCAGCCCTCCAAGACGCAGGACTTGCAAGTCATTAGAAAAGGTGTCCGAGGCCCAGCCTGTGGGGTTGGAACCTCTCTGGGGCCTGCTTACCCTGACTCAGTGAGGTGCCTTGGGGTAAATGACTGACCAAGCGGCTGCTTCCAGATTCTTGGGAACCTCCCAAACACTGAACCAACGATGATGCCTCAGAGGTAATTTAAAATAAAAGAACTCTGACCATAAATGCTAGTTTTCAAAATAAGGGACCAGCAGTTAGAGTAATGGCTATGTCGCTGGACTCCCATGTAGTCGACTGCGGTTTACATCCCGGACCCGGTGGCTTAAACTCACGCTGGGCACGTGTGCGTTCGTGCCCAAGATCCCGAGAGGAGAATCGAGGAGAAGGGATTGCGGCGTGGCCATCCCCCCTGGGGGATGATTTCTCGCTTTCTTTCTCTCTGTCTCTCTCTGTCTGTCTGGTGAGCGCATGCACCCTATAGCAAAACCTCTCAAAAAAAAAAAAAATGACACAAAGTTTTCTTGTACTATGCAAAGTTTTCTTGCCACTATGAAGAGGTTGCAGGATCTGCGGGTGTGGCCTGCACATGGGCTCATCCACGTGCAGGTCTAGATGGGTGACTTTCTCCTGAAAGAGCCATTAAGTTAGGAGTCCATCCAAGAGCCCTGACCTTGGGGGATCCCCTCTGAGCTCTGGCTGTGATTATAGCCCAGCTCTCTGGGAGATTCTTGGGCCCATCTGGGAGAGGGTGCTGGGATGGAATTGGATTTCCCACCACACTGGGAATGTATTTGGACTTTGAAGAAACTGTTCATTTTCATTCCCTACA